GAAAGAGCATGATTCTGCAGAGATGAGGGCAGCCTCAATGGAGGAGAGGGGAGACCAAGACTGCTTTTTCCCCAAAGTAACATATAATCTAGGCCCTGGGTTGGGCTCTTGACTTGCAGGTTGCAATGCCTGAGTTAAATTATAGCTCCTCCTGGGTATCTACTGATATATACATGGGGTGCAGACCCTTAAGTGGGTCATTAGAGTTTCACATTGGAAACATTTGTACTACTCATTGCAGCCTGACTATGGACCTGAGTTCCTTTCCCTGAGCTCAGGTCAGAGCTAGCCTGGCTTTTCCTCGTGCCCCATGCAGCCCCTGGGTGCTCAGCCCGTTTAGAAATCTGGGTATGTATTTGGGCACTAGCAAAAACCTAACCTGTGGGAAAGGCACTTGAGAAAAACCCAGCCTTATAACCCTGTTACCCTTGGCTGTCAAGCAGCCTGGCTGGGAAATCTTCAGTGTCTGCCTCTGACATTTGTTGTCATGTCCCCCAAAATTTTTATTATTCAGCTGAGTGCCGGAGGGACAGAAAGCCTTCATGGGGTGCCTCTTACCGTATGTGCAGGGAGAGGGAATGTCCCTAGAGTAAGAGCAGAGTGTATAAAAAAGAGGAACCTGCACTCAATGGATCAGTCGCTCGCTCATCTCGCTGAGCACACAGCTATGATTGTCGCTTGCCTGCTCCTCTCCAGCATCTGGACCCTTGCATCAGGTAACTCCTTTTTCTGCCTGTCTGTATCATTATTTTAATGGCATTAGGGGCCTCAGTGGCCAGCGGTGACAGGGCATGTGTGGCACTGCACACTGCTGGTGTGGTGTTCCAGGCATGTTACTGCTGGATGTGTAGAGAGCTTCCTTTCCTTAATGTATGACCGATGCATTCAGAAGCTGCAGAAAGATATACAAATGTATTTACAATTTGAAAATCATAAACAGGTCAAATGTCCAAACTCTTCCACTGATTTGTATGAGTAAAGTTTTATTTCATCTCTTTTTGTGGTTGGGATTTGATTCAGAGTATGGCACCAGAGGTACTTTAGCCAGGACAAAATTATTTGTAGTGATGGGCGTGGCACTTGTAGGTGTCCACTCAGACCACTAGAAGTGTGGGCAGATTTGTTTTTTTTTTAATTAAAAATTATGTAGAAAAGCCTGAATTTGCTTCAGTATAGCTTCCATGGTTATGATTTGTATTCTGCCTAAGGCAGTTCACTGAGCTCTGAAAAGCAAAATCACCAGCACAGCTTCACTGCTGGCTTCTTGGTCTCTGACAGGCCAGGTCATCTGCCTGGCCATGGCCACAGCAATGGAGGGGGCAGGACCTGAGTAAGCTACATCAGGCAGGTTAGAGAAGTGTACTTCTGGGCACTAGTGACAGCCTCACTCCTCTTTAAAACCTGCAAAGGTCCTTCCCTTTCTTGTAAACTGAATTATGTTTTCAGTGCTGTAACTGTCCCTGCTGGTACCTCCCTTCCCATTCTGATCTACACAAATAAACTGTTATCCTAAGAAGACTGTGGAGCTGAGCTGCCAAACCTCAAAGCAGTCACTTCTCTTGCTTGTCCCCTTAATAGTTTTTCCACGTGTCTGAATTGGAAGAGTTGGCTGAATATTATTTCTCCTTTTCCCTGGAAATCCTTAATACCATAGCATTTATGCTGTGGAAGTTTTCCATCTGTGGGCCTTCAGCAGAGTTTCAGCTGCTTCCCAGCTGCATGGCTTTGAGCATGACATAGAAGAACAGATGCAATTTGTCTCCAGCCTTCTCTACCTTAGTTTTTAATTATTTTTATCTTATTTCCTGATCTCTTGGAAGTCTCTGACAAATGTGGATGCACAATGTATAGTGATAAACACAATACTTTTTAGCAGCTCTTCTGATCTGCTTCTCTCTGTGCCACAGGAGGGCTCAGAGAGCGGTAATGCACCAGCAGCTCTTTGGGCATTAGCACAGCTCAACTCTTAGGGAACATTTCCATAGGTACCCATGGGATAACAGTCTTAGCAGACAGAAATCAGTCACTCCGACACAGAAGCTGCTCTTCTTGGTGGTTCTCTCTGCAGGGCAGGTATCAGGCTGATGAGACTTTTCATGTTAGAAATGTCAGGTCCAGAAAAATCTTAGGGCAATCTTTGCTAGCTGAGTTTTCACTTTCTTCCTGGACAGAGAGCCACCCCCCAGAGGTGCTCTGCCCAAGGATGAGGGCTGGGGGCTGGGGTGGTCTTTGATGGGGGTGGATTACAAAAAGGTAGTGAGAAACACTGAGTGCAGTGCCTGCTTCTCCTCCAGGCTCCGTGCAGGTGATGCACAGCAAGGTCCAGTCAGTCCGGGCAGGAGGAAACACTACTTTTTCATGCCGATTGGTCACAAAAGAAGATGTGCTACAGGTGACTTGGCAGAAGGAGATGGATGGGGCTGAAGACAACATAGCGACTTACAGTACAATGAACGGTCAAAAGATAGCAAAGGACTACGTTGGGCACGTGAGCTTTGCTCATAGTGAATTACAAGCCTCGGACATCTCCCTTCATGGAGTCACCTTCCAAGATGAAGGATGCTACAAGTGCATCTTCAACACTTTTCCCTCAGGGGCTGTCACTGGCAGGATGTGTCTCCAGGTTTATGGTAAGGCATTGTAACTGCATATGGGTTGTCATCTGGGAACCAAGTTGTTTTCCCCGGGAAAAACTTTCCCTGACCTCTGATCATTGCTAAATTGCTATGGGAAGGGTGACTCAGCTTTCCTCCTGGCTCACTCCCCCTCTGGTTTTACCTCTAATTGGAAACCAACACTCGACAGTTCTTTAATTTTCTTTCCCTTTAAGTCAACAACAGTGAGATCCAAAAGCTGACTTGTAACCCATGACTTCCTCCAAGTTTCTCTGGCAGTGTGCTGTTCTGACAGCTGGCCTGCCACAACCATGAAGCCTGTGCTCCTCTTCCTCCTTTCACTGCTGCTTTTGCCTCCTAAGCCTGGATGTCAGGCCCTTTTTTTTCTTACTCAACCTTTGATCTTAAAAAACCTCAAATTATTCAAAAGGCTGACTAGAGTGTCTGGAAGCTGACTTTAAAGCTATAGAAAAAATGGCAGTAGTTAGACTGGGCTCAGGAAAGGGGTATGAGATCAGCAGCTAGTAAATATAAGTTTGAAATATAGACAAATGGATGAGATAAAAAAAGAATAAGAGTGAAAAGCTGTTTGTCCTTTGGAGGATGGTCTTTGATTTCTGCCAGTGAGAAGGCTGTGACATTAAACACACCCTGAGGACACCCTTTTAGCTCCTGACATTCTCATGGATGACTCTATTGTGGGGTTGTTGGCCAAAGATCATGTCCCATGTGGAAAACAACAGTGTCTGGGACCTGCCACGGGTGGTAAGACCCCTGAAAAATATTTTGTATATCCCTAGTACTGTCTGCTGACAAAGACACAGACACCTGCCCACACACATGAGCCAGCAGCCCTTTTATGCGGAGGGGGGGGAAATGCCCTTGGGTTATAGGGGAAAGATTACTTAAGCAACAGGGGAAAAGGAGGGGGGAAATACAAGGGAAAACCAACCCTGGGACAGAAGCTCTTTTTGCTCTTTCTTGGGAAAGCTCCTAGAGCAGAAAAGAGAAATTAGGAGAAATTCCCTCAGTGTTTCATGTAAAAAGAGGAATATGTTCATAAAAACACCCAGTGCTGAGTCATTCAGAGGATAAACACTGATTTATGCACTACAGGAAAATATGGAAGTGCTTGGCAGAGGGATCCCTTTCTCATTTATCATGAAGATCTAAACATGGAGTTAGATTTGTGTTGATTTTTTGTTTTGTTTTATCAAAGAGGGGGAAATATTTCCCAAAATTATCAGCCCTGTGGCTATGATTCATCCTTTAGCAGAGCTCTACTTTAAAAATCATGTTTTTTCTGCTGCTACACACACTCCCGTGAACATGCCTTCCTGCCTCTTGGACAAAAAACCATCACTAAGAAGGGTTCCATTTATCTTACAGGCAGGCATGAGCTTGCTGCTCCTTCTGTGCCAGTGTGGGCTCACAGGTCACTACTAGGGGCTGCTGGTTCATTAAAGTCACAATGGTCTTCCTGAAACTTGTTTTATCAAACATGTCCTGGAGGGTCACCATGAATAAAAGAAGTGTTCAGCACCACGATAAAATATTTTGGTTCATATACAGCATATTTCATTGAAGCTAATTTTTGTGATGATACTTAAAAGCCACAGCCTTACTCTCTTACTCCCCAACTTGTAACAATTGGAACAACTTGTCTGAACAAGCCCAGAGGACTCCCTGGGCCAGAGTGTGAAGTCAAAAGGAATCTCCCAAGTCTCATGGATTTAGAGCAAGGTGAGCAAGCCAGAGTCACCAGCTGAAAATGAAACACTGCCAAGTCTTTGCCCTTGAGAGGGGACTGCCAGGGAGTTTTCAAGCTGGTAATTGCCCGATTACAACAGCCTTCAGAAGAGGGGCAGTTCCAGGGTGGGCACTACTGCCTGACAAGGGGAAGTGAAGCCACCTAAGAACTGGATACAAGACTGTGAAAAAAGAAGCAGGTATGACTGGAAGAATCTCAGACATGCCTGGCTGAAAACAGCAAACTGAAGAAGGAGAAATTTCTTACCCTGTAGCAAAACTCATTTTGGAACAGAACCATTTCAAGTGTGCTTGGTAAGTCTCTTTCGAACAAGATGCTCCACTGCCCCCTCTGTTTTACTTTGGAAGTGTTTTGCTGACTTCCATCACCAGAGAGGATGATAATGAAAACCAGGAAGGGAATCAAGTGAGCAGGCATGGAGAGAGCCCAGTGGAGAAATGTCACCAATATTTCTTAGACAGGAAAACTGCGGCACAGTGTTGCTGGTGAACACCCAAAGAGCTGGAAAAAGCTTATTGTGATCACATGGCCTACTGTGATTCCTAAATTTTGTATCAGTCTCTCCAAGACCTCTGTCAAACCTTTAAACATAAAAAGCACATCACGACCTGATAGTCCTGCTTACAAGGTCATTACAGATAATCAAAGCTGATGTACTTTTTCTAGAAGGAGCCTTTTTCACATACTTGGGAACACTGCCACAGCTCGAATTTGGGAATGCTTGCATTACTTCTCTGCAAAAGCTACTAAAGCAAGTACCTGCACACATCTCTTGCAGGTACTTTTTCAAGGAAAACAAATATTTTTATGAAAGGCAAAATAAGCTGTTCAGTGTGTGAATCAGTCATCAACAGTGAGCATACACTAACAAACAGAATAGCAGCACTTCACTGCAAAATCAAGCACTTGCAGGTGCATCCATTAGACACTTGCTAAGGGGAAGCTCAGCCCTATAGCATTTTTTTCACATAAGTCATTCCTTGAGGTCCAGTGTGGGCAGATAGAGAACTGCTTAGTCAGAAGAAAAGCAGATGTGGTATGCACATGTTTCTGTCAAGATACTGAGCAATTTCTCTCATCATTTGTGGGAGTACCTGTGACAGCTTTCTTCTACTGCTTCTGGATGTTGCAATCTAATATTTGAAGTTAATGCTGTGGGTGAATATGTTATTTTTATGCATCCCGTGAGTGAAAGAAGAAGTTCAGGGGTCATTTATTAATCAAAACATAAACTTCTGTTACAGTTGTCTTTGCATACATGGAAGATTTTGAGAAGTTCCAGCTGAAATCCCCCTACACACTTTTATCGTTGATCTCAGAACAACATAAATGAGTTTCATCCACTCCGTGGTGTTTGAGTTTCTGTCTCTGGGTGATGCAAAAAAATGAGAAATACCTACTTCTTTATTTTTTAAAGGCAGGCACACACACACACACAAAAACCAAAAAACCAAACCAAGCAAACAAGCAAAAAAAAACCCCAACAAAAACAAACCAACAAACAAAAAACCCCACAACAGAACAAAACAAAAAAAAATCAAAACAATACCAAAAGCAGCAAACCCCATGGCATACAATGTCTTGCATCCACCTTCTGGCATTCATGGCTTAGAGGCTGGGGACAGCTTAGTGAGATACATCTGGAATTGTACCAGGAGGTTACAGTCACCATTGTGCATCTGGTACAAGCCTTTTCCCCCTTTGACAGGATCATTCAGTGTCTTTTACAGCTTCTTCACTTGCAAATCTTGATTTACCTGCCAAAAGTAAAAAGAATATTTTTTTCCTAAGAATCTGAAACAGATTTTTTTTTTTATTATTTTTTTTTTTTAAAGCAGGATCACTAAATTATAGTGCTAAGTTTGCTAGTGTTGGGACAAAAATATATTTTCAGCATAAATATACTGAATATATTCAGAGATACTTTTTCATCAGAGGACATTCATATTAAGTCAGACTTAAAGAAATTAGAATTGCCACTGCATTTAAATGGTTAAAAAAAAAAAAGTAACAGGCTCAAAACCAAACAGCTACAAGTAGAGTCTGGCTTGGGCCCCTGTGCCATCAGCACATGCACCGAAGTAGAAGGCAGGTTGTCCAGCTGCCATACAGAAACCTGTGGATTGCACTTCCAGACGGAGCTAAATGCCTTTATAGATCTAGGCCTGAGCAAACTGAAATAATTAGACTGGCTTTAAGCAGGTGACTGCTTAAAAGTGCAGATGAATGCACTTTGCACTAGGTGACCTCCAGAGGTCCTTTCTGACCTAAACTGTAGTATTATTTTATGGCTGATGGATATATAGGTGATTTTCCATGGAGAATGTGTCCTACTCTGTTTGGCTCTCCCTTGGAGAAGTACTCCCTTGGAGTACTTTGTTGAAGGTTTTAAGGGATACATAACATAATGTCCCCCAAACCCCATACTAGAAAGAAGAAAGTTATACAAGCACAAAATCTCCACAGGTGAAATTCTGTGTTGTACACATACAAATTCACTATTAGTGTTTTGCATAAATAGATACCTTTAGTTTTTTGGTCCACAAGCCTGCACATTTCAAGCAGTAATAAAGCTAATCCTGCAGATACATTTAAGGGAAGAGAACAATAATTTTGATTCATTTAAGCAGTTCAGCCCTTTCAGAGGGATGAGGACGTGGTTTCATGGTTTCAAAACTTATTGCTCTTTACTTGTTCCTAAACACCACTTCTCTATTGGGATGCTGCACTGGTGCCATTAATAACAGAATTGAAGCACAGATGTTTCTACCTTCTTGTCCTTTGTTTTGGCCAAGCTCTACGTTTCCAGACTGCTACCTGAGTGTTTTCATGTCTACTTGTCACTGCTGGAGCTTTGGTGAGGGGGAAGTAATATTAGATATCAAGGTTGTTCTCCAAGATGAGGGTAAATATAGATGCTCTTTGTTCCACCATAAGCAGAAAGTAAGGGTTTTCTTGCTTTGTGTTTACAGCCATCTCAGAACCCAAAGTGGAAGCTAAGCTTATATCCAGTCCAGACAAAACTGAGGACTCTGAGAAAGTGGTTGGGATGAGCTGCTCAGCAACAGGGAAACCAGCTCCAAAAATCTCCTGGCGCCTTCCCAGTATCCTGCAGCAGAAACCAAGGGAGTATCAAGTCAAACTTGGCAACCAGACCGTGACTGTCACCAGCAATTTCACCCATGCCAACTCCAAAATCCTTCAGAAGCACCCCATCATCTGTGTGATCCAACACCCTTCTCTGAACGTGACCCTGGTCCTACCCATGGCGAATCTGATGCAGGGTCAGTATGCAGCCCTGCTCCTGGCCTGAAGCAGGGAGACCATGAAATGTCTCCTGGGGTAGATCAGGAAAATCCTCTAAGAGATGGGGGGAAGGTGGGGAAGGTGATTGGAAGAGCAGCTGGGGCTGGGCTGGGGAGGGACAGAGGAGATGCTGAGGAGCATCCAAACACCCTGGGTGATGGCATGCAATGTCTTATTGTCCAGTGTGTCCCCTACGCATCATGAAGTGCCCCAGCTTCCTTGCCTCTGCTGAGGACTTTCAGAGTTTCTCTGTCATGTAGCCTGATGCATCAGCACAATGTGCCAGCTCAGAGGGTCTGTGTGCCACATCCCCAACTGTGGCATCAGAGCCCAAGCACAGGACCACTGGCAGTGCTGCTTATGTGTGTGTGGGCATGTGCTCCCAGCACACCTACTCACCCCATCTCACGCTGTTAACTGGCCAAAGGTACTCTGAAGGGGTTTAGGCTTGTTTTTTTCCTTCATACACAAACTGAGTAGTTGCTGCTTTTCCCGCAGGTCAGGACAGCAATGTGCCACCAGCCATTGCCATTGTGGTGGGGGTGCTGGTCCCCGTGGTTTCCCTCCTCCTTCTTGCCTGCCTCCTCCACTGCCGCCTCAAGTACCTACGTGATCCAGAGAGAAACCAAGCCTGGCCATGCTGGGTAGGTCTGCCTTTCCCCAGGGTGCTGCAGGACTCATCCATCACAGGGCTCAACACCAGGACCCATCTGTGCCCAGCTATCCTGGGGCTGGCTGCATGCTGTCCAGCCTGGGCTGTACCTGAGGCAGAAAGGGACGAAGGGATCAAAGGGATGGACCCCAGCCAGACACCTGTGTGCTGGGAAGGGGAAACCTGAAGGTGCTTAGGAAGGCCCATAGGTGCCCAACAGCAAGGACAGCTAGACAGCATTCACTTTCTCAATGACAAGATTTGCTGCGGGGAAAGCATTACTCTGTTACTATAATTATACACAAAATAATTGTGCAAGCAGTGGCTGCACCCTTGCACTATTCTTCTGCATCTCCTAAAGTAGCCTTCCAGCACAGCCAGTGCAGATTGTGGTGGAAGCAGCTTTGAGGATGTGTCTCAAGCAAAATGGAGTCTTAGAGAGAAGAGCGTGTCTCTGCGTGGAAAGCCCAGGGGGTTACACTGCAGGAGGGGACAAGGCACTACTTGTTGTCCACTGAGGCTGTCCTGGCACAGGGGGTGCAGGAGGCAAGCTCAAGGTGGCGGTAAACTGAGTGAGGGGACGTGACATTGTTTCAGAAAATAGCAGCCTGGTTTTGTGCTGAAGGCACTTCTGCCTCCTCATGGGATATACCCAGAGAGTGCACGCTTACTTTTGATGGGTGTTCTGGAGACAAAAACCAGTGGGAGGAAATGCGATGTATGTCCTCTTCCACAGGCACCATGCTTTTAGGTCCAAGCTGGAACCTGCTGCAGGGATTGTGAGGGGGAAACTTTAGTCTCCCCTGGCACAGAGAGGTGCAAGAACCCATTTGGTAAAGCACACAGCCTGGATCTTTACTCTTGTACTTAAAATATCCATATATTTTGAAAAAGGAAAAAAAAACCCAAAAAACAAGCTCTCTTCCATTAGGTCCTTCCTGCCTGTACCAAGGCCAAGACATGCGGACAGTACAGAGCTGCAGACAGGCAGACTCCACCAGTGCCCCCCATCCCTGGCACACCACTGAACAACTGAGCAGCTGCCTACCTCATGCATGTGAGAGAGAAACTGCCTACAAAGACACCTTGGGCTTCCAAGCAAATCTGCTGTGGCTTCATGCCAAGAGAAATATAAAAAAGGACAATTTATAAAAGTTATTTATTTATTTTATACTATAATTTTCAGTTTCGTAGAAAAAAGCTGTGAAATATTTATTTGAGACTCAGACTGACTGTGTGGATCTGCACAATGAAACTCATGTTTTCTATTTTCTGGAGTATTGAATGTTATGTTTATTCCTTTCTGATATTTTAACATTGCAAGCTCAAAACTGGGTGGGGGACTGTCCGAAGAACAGGGAAGCATTTTGTACAGATGCTGGTCTGAGGGGCATTGCTGATGGGCCAGAGGAGACCCCCATCAGGAGCTGCGGTGCAGAAAAGCCATGGACAAGCCTCGTGTGCTGCTGTGAGCTTCAGGGGTTGAACCTATTCCCCAAAAGGCATTTGAGATCAGGCCAAGACTGTGGCTGGCTTTAACTTATTTCCCAGGTGCCAGAAGTGACAAGCATCAAGCCAGGAGCAATCAGACACAAGGAAGCTGCCAACTTCAACTTCCACCAGCCTTCACTAGAAAGTAATGCAAAAGGGCACACAGAAGTTTCCTTCTCTCTTCTTGTTCTGTGGCTTCCACAGCCCCTTTCTTAACTTCTCTAATGCATCACAGCTGCCTGGTGATCCCAGGCATCCCATCTGCCTGCTGGAGGAAGCAGGGAAATAAAAGCGCAGCTGGAGGAAGCAGTGGGCTGCTTGGTGGGTTTTGTGTACATCATGGTGTGGTGGCAGGAGAGTTGAGTGGGAAGCAGAAGGTTGATGGTAGGCAGGAATGAAGGGGTGGGTGCTGTATGTGGGCAGATATGCACAAGCATGGGACAGTAGGTGTTACCTACTGATAACAGTCATTGTTTATAGTCTGTAGGTCAGATCTGAGCAGTCCTCCTGTACTTACCTGAATGCCGCCTTATGCCCATGAAATCTTGCCTTGCAGACCTAGGGATGTGGAAATGAGTCCCCTCTTAGCTGGTGCAGTCTTGTGTGTAGCACAGAGATGGCTGGTACAGGTTGTCTCCTCACCTCCTTGCTTCCCAGAGCAAGTGCATGTCATCTGCCTTTTTCCTCACCTGTTTATTTCAAGTGTGCATCCCAGATGAAGCAGGCCGAGTTGTAGTTGGGAGGCCAAGCAAGCTAAAATGAAAGCAAGTCAGGGAGCTGAAAATTAATAAACTCAGTCTTTGTTATCAAATCCTTTTTTAGACTCCCTAATGCTTAGTAATAGCTCCACTGGTGATTGTGGGGAAAGGGGAACTGACTGCAACAGTCACAGCCAGGAATTTTCTTGAGAGCCCCATAATTTTCAAAGAAGGAAGCTGCATTCTACCTAAGCTTTCCTGTCATTGTAGCTTAATTTCCTCCTCCTCTGCAGGGGAAGAGGCCAGGGAGAGAAGCAGGTTTTCCCCAAGCAGGGTGGTGGTTGGTGGGGGACAGGGTGTGGGCGAGAGGGCAGAGCTCAGCCCTGAGACTCCTCCTGAATAGGCTGTGCATTGCCAGCCCTTGCTGCTCAGCAGCGTCCGCATTTGCTCTTCAGGGGATTTTTGGAGAGGCTTTTTTTAAGATAGTTTCCACTGATGTTTAGACTAATGGGCTTTTTTTTAAAAAAAAAAAAAAAGTTAAATTGGTCTCTCGCAGAAACAGGGAGTCTGGATGTGGGTGACAAAAAAGATTTTCAGGCAGAAAAGACAGGCACAAAGCTACAGGAAATCCTTACAAGCACAAGAAGGTTGCAGAGATTACCTGTGATTATTTCTACAAACTGATAACCTGGAGTAAGGGAAAGTAGGTTTTGGCATCATAATAATATCTGTTTACCTGTGCAATTGTAGTTTCTTTTACTATTTAGCAGCATGTTGAAACATGAAAAGCTTTCGTACATTGCTGCTAATGAGCATGATAGAACTAAAGACTAAGTGAGAGGGGAGGGTGTGATAGTTGACAAGCAAAATGCTGTCCAAGAAAGGAAGATGTTATCGATCTATTTATCTTTTGCAGTATCAGAATGAGATCAGCAAATGGCATTTAAAGGCAGAACTTTTAAAACCAGTATCTATATTTGCCTTCCTACTATACCAAGCCAGCTACTAAAATCCAGTGCCATAAAATGCTGTATGCTAGAAATGTGGAGTTCAGATTCATATTGCAAAGGGATGAACATAAGCATCTAGGGTACATACAATTAACTGGTTGTTAACTGAAAAAAAAGAGCATGAAATAGATACAAACAGCCTTCCAGGAAGCAAACAAGCACATGACAGGGGATCAGGAGCTTTTACTGTGGGTGAATAACACCCTAACTGTTGTTCTGAGGTTTCTTTGTGATTATATTATGCTTGTCTGCCCAGTTATCTCTGTTCACAATTTGGCAGTAATTCTTTGGAGGTTATATTTCAGATGGGTTTATTCAGATACTTAGTATCATGTTAACAAAATATTGTCTAGGCTGTGAAATATTGCAAATTTTGAAAAGGTCTTGAAAAGGAAAAATAAAACTGGTAAGAAATTCAAGTGGAATGGACTGCTCTATTTTGCTGCTGTAATGTGAATGGTGCAAAGCAGATTAACTTTTTAAGTAAATGGAAGCACAGTACCTTTCCAAAGTTAACTCTGTGAGAATGTCCAGAGCTACTATTGCCACCAAAAGAAACCAATCAACCAACCAACCAACCAAAAACAACAAAACAACCAACCAACAACAAATGAACAAAACAAAAAAGCAAACCTGCAAAAAGCCTAGGCTTTTCCTTCTCTTGTGTTCCCTCTGGCCACCTCTCTTGCGGCCAGGCAGTTGGTCTGACCCAACCCTGCCCTGTGACAACCTCCTGCCTGCATGCTGTCATTGCAACTCAGGCATGATTTTTCCCAACAGATGGAAATATGTTGAAAGGGAATGCCACCTTCCTGCTTCCTTTTACTTGGGTCAGAGTGGTTCTGGGTAACGTGTCTCTTTCTGCACAGCAAATAGAATTATTTAGCCTGCAGGTCTTAGCTCTGGGATCCTTTGATATTAGGAATAGCTAGTTTGGGTCAAGACTTTAATGCTTGTAGGACCATAAGAGTATCATTTTAAACTGTGTATTTTGTATTTTTATACAATTTTATATAATAAAGTGTTCCTGGGGCTGTATAAAATGTCCAGGTGTCTGTTTTGGCATGGTACGCTTTTTCATAGAGGTAGCATGTTGGTATTTTTCTCTGTGTGCTGGGTTCCTGGTTCTAAGAGCAGTAAGATGTAAAGGAATCACCCCATCAGCTCTGGCTGAAGATGCAACTGAAATGTAGCTGAAGTGCTGCCCTTGGATAATTTGCAAGTCTCTGGCTGAAATAGGAAGAATATTCTTTTTTCTGAAACCACTGCTGGCAGAGGCATGGGACTAAATCCATACAGTGAAAAGGAACTTTGTTTTTCTGACAGAAGATTGAAAGCATCATTCATCATTTCTCTGTTGCATGACCCTGGGAGAATGATTCATTAAATACCACACCAGTAAATTTTCTTAGGAACTCGGACACAGAATAAAATGTAACCTAGTGTTTTCAACGAGTCCCTAGAAATCAGCAGAAGCAAGATAATTGCAGTAATTGAGTGCACTTTTCTCTTTCATAGATGAGATTATTGAATCTAGCAGATAAAAAAATCAAGTATATTTTTGTTTTCATTCTTAGCTTACCAGAAATTACTCATACCTTGGAAGCCATACAAAGGGCCTTCTCATATCTCCACTGCTTTCATCTTTGCTTATATAAGCTCTGTGTAAAAGAAGCACTGAGCTCTTGTCCAACCTTTTTGTGGATGGACTCCGTTGTAGGCTGCCCAGCTTTGGAAAAGAAGGCACCTGAAATTTCTGGAAAGCCTGAGGGAATCCTCTGTTTAGGGCAAATTCAAAATACAAACATAGTTTTAACTCTGTAACTTGTCAGAAGCAATAGTTCCTAAAGTTAATCACCTTAAAGAAAAGGGAAGAAAACAGCTTTTCTGGTAAAACAGCACTTGAAATTGTATGCTAAAGATTAAGATACAATGAAAGGCTTGCAGAAGCCCCCCCCCCTCCCCACACACACACTTTCAGACTAAAAATTAGGTATCTTTTGTCAATCACATTTTATTTGATATTATCCTTCAAATAAATTACAGAATGTCCATCATCCCATCATAAACACCCAGGATAATATTTTAAGTTTGAAGAAATCAATTTACCTCAGAAGCCTTGAGCATTTCTTGCCTGCAGGTATGTATTTGCATAGGTGAGACTGTGGGTGTTCTTTAGCTGACTATCGTCTGAGTAAAAAGAAATACCTGTTTGATACAGATTTTTATCTAAATACCCAGTAAGTATGGTCTATGCACTAAGAGGAGAAAAGAGGGAGTGTCCTAGTATTGTTTTCTGAAGATCTTTGCACATCTACTACACAATACTATTAACTTATCAAATACCTGCTGTCTCTTTCTAGAAAGGATTCACTAAGAGAAGCCAAGTGTCAGTTCTCTATTCAATGCTTCAATATTTATCTATGTATGCAACATCAACATTTCTTTCTAAAAATATTTATTGTAAAAATTTCTGACCACATAAAGATAATCAGAAAGCATTCCTCAGAGTCTAGCTCAGGCTGCACAAGAAAACCAAGACCTCATTGTAGATGGTCCTGAGCAGCCTGCAGGCTCCTCTGGGCTGGAAACCTTCTGACTAGAACACAAAAGAAGGGGGGATAAATCCTGGGTTAAGGGTATCAACGTTCCAGCCCAAAGGCAGATTATGCACCAGGTTCTCCAGTGGGCTCTTGCCCTCAAGAAGGAACTTGTGTTCATCATGCAGTTTTAAGTCCTCCAGTTTCAGATTTGTGAGTCTGTATCATTCTGCTGTGGAACCAGCAGACACAGATTTGGAGGCCAACTTAGAAAAACTAAAGTCAGAAGTCATCAGGAAGCAATGTCAGGAAGCACTAGCACTGCTAGTGGGACAGATATTTTTGCCAAAAGGTGAACAAGAAGGTCTGGGAACCTTTAATAGTTTATCTACAGCTTTCTTTATTCCTTTAACACATTTCATCTTCCTTTGCTCTTCTTCTGGTCCCTAGGATCCAGACCTGACCTTGTCCTATCAACTAGTGTAATACCTCTGTGGCAAAGAACAGAAAGTTTCTCCTTTGCTTTGCTGCCACTTGACCCAGCCACAATAGTTCACCTCTTCTAGTAGTCTAGTCAAGCTTGTTTCTTCTCCCTGATGTTATTCCATCTCATCATGCCTTTAAAGATGCTGTCCTGTTGCCTGGATCAGCCCTGCCTTGCTGAGCAACCCTTATCTTCCTTCATCCCAGGGTTGTCAAAGGGCTGAATGGGGAAATGAAGCTAGGGAAGAAGGAAAGGAGAGGTGACCAGGACAAAAGGACAGAGTCTGAGGGCAGAGGAAGGGGCTCTACGTGGAGCCAAATGTGGGAATTTTTTCCCCAGGACATCTTTCAAGATGGCAATTTGCTAGAAAACAAGTTCTTGGGCTGCTTCCAGGAGAAATGTTTCTCAGATTAGCTTTGCAATGAGAGTGTTGTCTGAAATCTACACTGCTCTGTGACCTTTCATTCTGCAGAAAATTAGCAGACTAATTGGCTTGAGAAGTTTGGCCAGTTTGACCACCAAGCCACAGAAGATGTGCAAAAAGCTTGTAAAAAGGAATTTGAGGAGTGCTTGGAAAGTGTACTGCTTAAGTGCATGAACAAGTGTCCTGTTTTGCAAAGTCTACAGAGTTAATTAGCTATGGATGGTCTCTTTTAGCATCTTTGCTGATGCTGGCTGGAGTATGACCGTCTATAGGTAATGCAGCCAGGGATGGAGAGGGACTCAGGCACAGGTGGGAGCCATTGCTGGAGGAGGGAGGTGGTGCTGGATATCCCACCCCACCTTGCCCTAGTTAGTTTCTGCTCAAAATTACAAAATCCCCATAACTTCCTAATTGAAGTAAATAGGCTATCAACAGGAAACAAGGGGGGTGACCCTTTGGACAACAACCTATTCTCCAAGTGTTTGCTGCACTGATGTCTGCTCCCCACTCCTCAGCAGCCCACATTTCTGGTCGTGCAGCCAGGAGTGACCCAACATTTCCTCTCCTCCTCACCCTTTTCTCTACAGACTGTGACCAGGGGCAAGGTGCCCCTGCAAGAATCATGAATCAACAGAAAGGGGGAAAAAATACAGTGCTGTTACTGTGCTGATAAACTGGCTTGCCCTGTACTAGTAATTCTCCTCTTTGGTATCAGCAGAAAGAGCAACACTAAAAGCCTGAAGAAGAGAGTAGCCCCCAGAAAGTAGTCTTTCCAAATTCACCCTAGAGTAGCTCCACAGACTTTTTTTTTTTCCTTCAGAAAATAAGAACTAATTAAGGTTAATAGTTATTCTCCAATACTTCCAGTCCAAACATGCTGCTTTATCTGTCAGGTTGAAAGTGTTGACGTCTGGCTTGGAAAAGCAGTCTCCTGGGATAGTTCTTTTTAAACAAGCAACTGCATATTCCAGGGTCTTTGATAAATATCTGAAAAGAGAAAAACAGTCAGTTTCTTTTTGTGTGTAAAATTCAGGAGCTTCATAAAATAAAGCCAGGGAGGAGGGATGTGGGAAACACTAAGAAGGTAAGCAGAGTCTGTTTCCATAATCTGACCAGTAGCTAGGACCTTTTAGAGGCGCAAGTGCCATTTTTGCATTTTGCTATATTGTGTATGAGCAGGTGGGGGCATGTTTTGCCCCACAGCATGCAGCTGGCTGGTAGGATCCTAGGCCAGGTGAAAAAGCACTGAGATTCAAAGGGTAAAGCTTGTTGCTGTAATAAAAAGCCCCGAGGGACCCTAAGGAAAGGCTCTGATATGGTCATGTGCACTGGTTTCACTTCCCTGCTCTTTGCCTGCAGTGCAAGCGGGTGCTGTGAGGCCCACTGAGAGGCTGCACACAGCCCCTTCCCCTCATGGAGGTGCCAGAAGGGATGATCAGCAGCCCATCTCACCTTTTAGTTAATTAATCTACAAGGTTCAGGGCAGGGCAACAAAAATGTAAACACATGGAAATCTGCAAGAAATCTAAAAATATATGCTGCCCCTCCTGATGGAGGTGAGAGTCAAATTCATAAAGAGCAGAGTTGAACACAGAATGTGATGCCATCTGCTTCTCACATTTTCCTGTAGGATAGCCTTCTCCTTTTCCTACAGAAAAAACCAGAAAAATTGTAGAGAGTATGGTGGGTATTGTTCTCTAAAAAGAATGAGAAGCTACACACGGTGCTGGAGTTGTGTGGTTTTACCGTGAAATTCCCGGCAAACCTTGTCCCTGAGCACCGGAGCACTCTTGCACCCCTGGCTTTGCCTTTCTGGAATTACACAGGATGCAGATGTACTCAAGGATGGGGGATTTCAACCAAAGCTGCCTTCCACAGAGAGCCCTTTCATAATGCAATTTGTGGGTTTGGTGTGCTTGCAGGCTGGGGTGAAGTGGTGACATCTGCTGGTGTCCCTGTAAGAGAAGCATCTCCTGTTCTTGCTTGTGTGTCCCCTGCACCACGTCTGAGGGATGCTAGCGAGCTCCTAGGATTGGTGCCCAGTGTGGTGCTGAGCAAGCAGCAGGGGGGGTGATCCATCAGTAGTGTTTCCTTTCCCTGACAAGGAGAAAGGGAGAGGGAGCTCCCAGGGCTTGTGGCCTCTTGTTTCTCCCCTCTCCACCAGCCTCCACCCATGCTTACCTGGAAAACCTCTTATTTATACGTTGTGAGGTGCAAAGTCCTGATGGAGGAGCTCAGCAGCATGGGGCTAACAAGAGGCAACCTTTGTTATGGGGGGAGAGGGCGGGTGGAAAAGAGGGGGGTGGGGAAAGGGATGTTGTTTCCTTCCAGCTCTGGCAACCAGTGCAGTTGGTAGCTGACAACATTGCACCAAGATTTTACAGCAGTTTGTTGTGATTAATGATTGTCCAGGCTGGCAAAGGAGGAAAACAGACTTCTCAGACTGTTGGCTGGTTGCCAACCCTGTGTCACGGGCTCTGCCCTTTTGCGCCCTGAAAAAAGGCGCAAAATCTCCAACCGTCTGCCTGGGTGAGTCAACTGCCCTCTGAGAGCTGTGGGGAAAGGATGTGAGCTTTCCCAGGCAATTGCTCTGTCCCACGATGCTTTTTCCCCTGCTTTTCTGGGCTGAAATCTGCCTGCTGCTGCTCTGCCAAGGCTGCCAGCTGGAGGAGCCAGTGATAGGTGAGTGGAGCGTCTGTATCCCTACATGAGGTTAACTCTGGAGCAGCATAAGCCTTTTTTAATTTTGCAAGCTGAGACACCCAGATGCCATCCTGACTAAAAAAGACTAATTGGTAACTGGAACTAGTAATGTGGGGGTTGGTCAGCAGCAAAATCAGGAAATGCAGGCCAGAGAGGTCACAGGATGAGGACATGGGATGGAAAAGGTTTGCATTTCCAGTGCATGTGCCTGGGTGGTGCATGCTTCTGTTATGAGAGACTGGGGCAGGGGGGTGTCCTTTCTGCAGCCACTTGCACTGCCTGCCTCCCAGCTGCAGGGTGCCCTTGGCTCCTCTGCCTCCCCCTGCACCACCGCAGGTGTTGGTGAGGGGAGCAGGGATGCTTTCAGGAGTGAGAGCCACTTTTTGCTGGATTATTGCTGTGTGTCAGGTCTGTAGAGGACACCTCTGAGCTTCCAGGGACAATTGCAAGCTCAGAGTAGTGCACTGGGAAGATGCAGGCAGATAAGCCCTGGACTCCAGTTTGCCATGCTTGCTGAAAAGGCCTGCCTGCCTTTCTGTTCCCACACTGCCTTCCTCCTCGCCATGGGAAATGTACAGCACAGGCTGATGATGTGACGGCCACCCACGGCTGTCTCAGGTCTCTCACTGTGCCACAGGGCCTTGTGGTAGAGTTCCTTGCTCTAACGCTCTGCAAGATGGGAACACTCTGACTGGGATACTTCAAGGTACCATGGCCTTCCCCAAGTGAAATGTTTGTCCTCTTGCTCTGACGTTGGCATTTGTGTTGTTCCTAGGTTTGAATGAAGCTGTGAAATCTGATAGACTTATTGCAGCAGCCATTGGTGGAGAGGCAAATTTCTATTGCAACTTCTCACTCTCAATGGAGGTTTTGCAAGTCACCTGGCAGAAGAGAATCGGGTCATCCTTCCAGAACTTAGCCACCTACAGCCTAAACCACGGACCGAGGCTGATAGGATCATTTCAGGAGAAGGCACGTTTCACTAGGGCAACCTTGAAGGCCTCAGCTATCACACTCCAAAACCTCACATTTGAGGATGAGTCCTTTTACAGATGCATTTTCAACGTGTTCCCTTATGGCTCCTTCAGCAAAGATATATGCCTCAACATCCATAGTAAGTTTTCCACTAACACCTTCTCACTTTCTGGCACTCAGCACAGGTCTACTGTAGTTAGGAGGTGGGTAAGGCATTATCCTCTCCATCGCATGGAGACTTTCCATGCAGCAGCATCTCCTTAGTGGATAGTCTCCAGAATTGCTGCACCTTTCCTCAGAGGAGAAGCAGGTAGATAAGCTAGGAGATGCTTTTGGATAAGAACCCCTGTACAGAGAGATGACCCATTCTTTGTACCCCGAGGTGACAGTAAACTTCCCACAGAGTGTAAAAACTACCTTCTCTTTTTCCTCTCAGCAATTTCTGAGCTAACAGTGGAATATGACTCCCACCTGTCCACCGAGGGTCTCCTCACTGCAGTTTGCTCAGCAACGGGAAAACCTGCTCCCCAGATCACCTGGCTGGATGACAGAGACCTGGATAAGTCCCCTGAAGTACACCACATCCAAAATGCAAATGGAACAGTAACAGTGGCAAACAGACTTACCTTCTCCACCAACCACTTCCATGCTTTGGCCTGCCTCCTTGACCACCCACAGGGAAGGAAAATTAAGGCAATTTTCCCAGAAAAGGGAAAGGAAGGTAGGCTGTGTTTGTATGTAAAGGTGCAGCATATAGTCAGGTGTGCTTAGGAAAGGATGCGCAGTTGTGGGAGTGGGGTTTGTACTTACATAGGTCTCACTCAATATTTTTCTGGGAGTTCAGACCACATGCTAGATGAATATTTTGTGATTAGAAATAACCCAGAGGTCTCCTTCCCATGGAACATTTGTGTTTGTGGTGGCTGTGGGCATCTGTGTATATATATGTGCATATTTGTGTGTACATATGTATCTATGTCTCTGTATGTTTATATTTCCACATAATCACTGATTTAAAACAGATGTGATCAACTCTCCAGCAGTACTCAAGCTGGAAGGGTACTAGCACAGCTGCCGTCTGACCATTGAATGCTGGGGAGCAGCATTTCACATGGAAGATCTTGCAGGAGTATATGTCTCAGGATGAGAGACTTTACTCATGATAAAACTTTTTCATACAGAAAGAGAAACACAAATATATCACGAGTAAAAATCATGGGGTTTGCATCACATTTTCCTGGTATTGGGGGAAGCATTATCAGTATTTCTTTAAAAAGAAAATAATTGCTTACCTAGCAGTATTACATAGTTACACTGTTCCTTTCTCTTTTTTGAAGAATAAGTACAAACTGATGAATGTTTCACTTCAGTCCCAACCTCTGGAAGAGGACACAAGAAACATGTTGTCAGCCTTCAATGTTCTATGTTAACTTATTGGTTTCTTTTTGTAGGTGTTCAGAGGAGCATAATTAGCATGGCACTCTTCACATCTGTGGTGTTATTAACATTCTTGCTATATTGCACCATGAGACAAATCAACAGAAGAGGGGACAAGTAAGAATAACTTCCGTTTTCTTGCAAATAATATGGCTTGCCTGTGTTCACCTTGCAATTTGCCTTTCTTTTTCCTTGTGGTGTTTTTACATACCTGCTGTGGAAACTTATCCAGGTGATGACAGCATTTCCAAAACAGCAAGATTCTCTCTAAATGACAAGAGGTTTTAAAGCATTATGTGACTAGTGAATGGTTGGGGATTTTTTCAGACAGAAGAGATGTTGTGCACCCAGAACACTTGCAGAGGAGGAAAGCTTACACCGAGACCTAAGCGAGAAAGCTGGGAGTTTGCACACACTGAAGGACCAGCACATTGCTCATCAAAACGAGGTAATGCAAATAGCCGAGGCTTCCAGTAAACATTCACATCCTTCAAAAGACTTCCATCAAGAGCTGGGGTCTGCTTCTGCTACCATGTCTTTCACAGAATCACAGAATCACCAAGGCTGGAAAAGACCTTTAAGATCATCAAGTCCAGCCTATGACCTAACACCACCACATCAGCTGGACCATGACACTAAGTGCCACATCCAGCCTTTCCTTGAACACATCCAGGGACGGTGTCTCCACCATTTCCCTGGGAAGTCCATTCCAATGTCTAATCACCCTCCCCGTGAGGAATTACTTCCTAATATCCAACCTAAACCTCCCCTGGTGCAGCTTCAGGCCATGCCTTCTTGTCTTGTTGCTAGTTGCCTGGAAGAAGAGCCCAGCCCCCAGCTGACTATGCCCTCCCTTCAGGTTGTTGTAGAGAGTGATAAGATCCCCTGAGTCTCCTCTTCTCCAGGCTAAACAGCCCCAGCTCCCTCAGCCTAACCCTGTAAGACTTTCCCTCTAGTCCTTTCACCAGGAGGATGCTGTGGGAGACTGTGCCAAAGGCCTTGCTGAAGTCGAGGCAGAACCACATCCACAGCCTTCCCCTAATCCACTAGGCAGGTCACTCAGTCGTAGGAGGAGACAAGATTGGTCAGGCAGGACCTTCCTTTCCTAAACCCATGTTGGCTGGACCTGATCCCCTGGTTATCTTCTACATGCTGCTTGATGGCACCCAGGATGATCTGCTCCACAATCTTGCCAGGCACCGAGGTCAGGCTGACAGGCCCATAGTTCTCCAGATCCTCCTTCTGGCCCTTCTTGTGGATGGGTGTCACACTGTCCAACCTCCAGTCATCTGGGACCTCCCCAGGCAACCAGGACTGGTGACAAATGATTGAGAACAGCTTGGCCAGTTTACCCACCAGCTCCCTCAGCACCCTAGGATGAATCCCATCCAGACCCATGGACTTGTTGGGATCTAAGTGGCAAAGCAGGTCCCTAACTACTTCCTCCTGGATTACAGGAGAGGGATACTGCTCCCCATCCCTGTCTACAAACTCAGGAGCCCAGTTGTCCTGAGGGTAGCTATTCTTTTTGTTAAAGACTGAGGCAAAGAACGTGTTAAGCAGCTCAGCCTTTTCCTTGTCCTCCGTTACTAAGTTCCCCCCCTCATCTAGTAAGGAATTAAGATTTTCCCTGACCCTCCTTTTGTTATTAATGTATTTGTAAAAGCATTTTTTATTATTCTTTACAGAGATGGCTAGTTTAAGTTCTAGCTGAGCTTTTGCATCTCGTGGGACAGCCACATGGGGTAGATGACACCATGTGTGCCCCATCCAACCTCTAGAAATGCTGGGGAAGGCTTAGAGCATGAAGAAGAAAAGTTAGTCAAGAGTTAGGCTTGGTGGAAAGGTATGGAAGAAGGACTGGAAATGCTCCTGAGGACAGATGGGATGTCCAGTCTGGACAGAGGCAAGGGAGTACCGCAGCGCTCAGGCACTGTAACCATGAGACTCACACAGAAGTTTCCCCAGAAAAGTCTGCCCTGCTCTGCTGGTTGTGCAGACATGAAGGTTCTCTGGAGAGCTGGTGGCATCCACAGACAAGACCTGTAAGTGACCACAGCTAGGAGTCACCCCCACTAGCCAGTTTCCTCTGACCTCCCATGGATTCCCTGTTTTCTTTGCAAGCTCTCATGCTGTGAATGAGACCCCTCCTGTTTTCTCACCACTTTTCTCTGCCAAATAACATAGAGCTTTGTGTTGGTTACCACACCACTGTGCTGGGTCTTTTGCAGGAGCAGACACCAGGCTCCTCACTTCACAACTAGCCAGTTTCCTCTGACCTCCCATGGATTCCCTGTTTTCTTTGCAAGCTCTCATGCTGTGAATGAGACCCCTCCTGTTTTCTCACCACTTTTCTCTGCCAAATAACATAGAGCTTTGTGTTGGTTACCACACCACTGTGCTGGGTCTTTTGCAGGAGCAGACACCAGGCTCCTCACTTCACAAACCCCTGCCATATTTGAAGAGAAACGTCAGAAAGAAAAAAAATTGCAGGCACTTGTTTTCAGAGGAAGCAGAGAACCTGAGCAGCGACATCCATGGCACGGTTAAGAGGGGACCTGTTGCGTTACGTGACAAGGAGCTGCGCTGCATACCCATGGAGAAGGACAGAGAGGCAACAGCAGGTGAAAGAGTCCAAATAGCACCCCACCTGGATGCTCCCCAGTCCAGTACAGGAAGGAGAGCCATCAGTCTAATAAAGGCCCACCCCCAGATTCCTAGAGGAGCACAGGAGCACAAGAGCAGGTGGGAAGCCCAAACTAAGGACTCAGAGGAAGGAACACCTTGCCCAGACCCCTCCCAGGGATGTCTCAGGGGATCCTCAGCTCCAGGGTCTGGGTATGAAACCAATCCAGATGAGTCATCACCTTACAGACTGAGATGAGTCACTGCCTAAAGGGGTATGAAGAGATGATGGGATGCAAGGGATGAGCATTTTGGGATTGCACAGGATTTACTATGGGATGCCTGAAGGAGAAACCAAAGGTGAGAAAGGGAGGGATCAGAGGAATTTAGGGAGGAAAAAGCCTGGGAAAATGGAGGGATAAAAGTGTCGCATCATTTATACACAGGCAGGTTATCAATATGTTTGTCTGGCCATGCCCAGCACCTGGTCTCATGCAAGTCCATTTCTAAGTTTTTTCCTGGATGAGAGACACCCTAGCCAGTGTGCATGTCTGTATGGGGGCCTGATGCCAGCAGCTGGGCCATGACCATGGGCCTGGGTGGCCACGACTGCGGAGACACAAGTGAGAGAAACCAACTACCAGCCACCGGAGTGGACCAGGGGTAGGGCCCGTGTGTCCCTGGTGCAGCCCTGGGAGCGAGTGCAGGTGAGCATCTGAATGCCAGCAAGAATCAAGCCAGACAAGCTGGTGAGTAGGTGATGTGTCCTGGGATGTTTTACAAGAAATCAGGAGTTAGGATCTGTGCTGACGACACAGCAAGACCCACAAAACTGCACCGAGTATTTTGCAAAAAGTTATGTTTTAAAGGCTCGAGCAGGAAAGCTTCCCCTCCAGCTCTCTGTATCATTACACGAGGTGTGTTATGAATGTCCCTGCAATCAGTGTATTTGCAAAGGCTCCTCCAACAGCCTGTGTGCAGGTGCAGCCCCAGGGCACAGCACCTTCGTTTGTAATAGCGGAGCCCCCTCTGCTGGGAGAGACGGCGAATGAAAGCGAAAACACCTTCAGTGAGTCTTGTGTTGCAACAGTAGCTCACCCGAGTGCTATTTTTTTTCTCTTTGGACCTAGCAACCCTATCCCAAGTATCAAGAAATTACGGCTATTGTATCCAAACATTCAGGAATAATTTGATTAAACGACTTGGTTGCTCTGTGGTGGACATGGGTTGCTGGAAGAGATGTTGAAAGGGACTGAGAGAAGGAACTGGGCTCTGGCAAAGGACCAGGGAAGAAAAAGTGGAGATGTTTGCCAGTTCTCCAAGCTGTCATGCTGACCTACAATGGATAAAAGTAGGTCTGCTCGAGAAGAAGTGGGAATGGCAGGCATTTGGTAATACCTGAGAAGGCATCTAGGCTACAAAAATCCTGCTGACTCATTCTGCCCAGGGTTCCCTCCTGAGAGAGCTGGATTTTCTGCAGCTGGGCTTCAGAAAACAATCTGTGGCTTCTTGGACAAGGGACCGTTAGAAGTCCATCTCAAGTGATGTTTTAACCAAGACTTGCTACTCAACATTTAAAGGACAACTGTTCCCTGCATTCTGAAAATTGTATTCTGATTCCACTTGCCTTGAATTTTCTTGTGCCACATACATATAGATTACAATGGGGGGCTTCAAATTGGCATTCCTCAAATGAGAGTTTTCTGAGATTACAAGCTCATTTTTTTAAAAATTATTTTTAATTTTTTTTCAGATAAATTATCTATTTTTTTTTCATTATAGTCATGGACTGTGATCTTCAACTATGCCCAGCATAAAACCTTAACACTATGATTAGAAGCCATCAATATATATGTGTATAAACACAATAGAAGAAGAGGCAAGTGAGTTTAACTACTGCTTCTCAAAGATAACTTTTTTTTCCCAGGAAATAGAAATTGAAAAGAGAAAGGTGTGGGCTTGGTGCTGTGAGATACCAAGCAGTGGTACTCCAGCTGAGCGATTCAGAGTCTGCTGAAAGAGGAAAAGAGGAATGGCCTCACCTCTGTACTTCTGACAGCAAGTACATGATTTATCCTCAATGCCAAAAATGTAGTTTTGCTAAGAGTAAAAAGTTAGGTTTGGTGATTGAGAAGAAAAAATGAAAATGGGATCAAATGCACACCAAGGACTCAGAAAACAAATAGGCACAAAAAGTCTGTTTTTCCAGAACATCTGAGGGCTTTTTTAAAAACATGTTTCTACAGGAGAGATGACTGTTTTTTCACCACTTTTCAGGTAGGGATTTAGAGGTGCTTTCTGATCCTTCCTGATGAAATGGAATAAATTGTTTCTTTCCGTCCTAATAATAGTGTTGTTTCCTTTCAGAAGGAAACACATTACCAGTTTTGAAGCTAAACAAAACACAAAGCTGAGACCAAAGCTGTCCCAAAGCCAGCTTCACTAGCAAGACCCAGAAACAAGCCCAAGCTTGCTTTTAGTGCACATGTCTCAAAAACTGAAGGAGGCTCTGTGGGATAGCAGAAATTAATAATAATTATATATATATATCTCTCGTGACTGGCTCACTTTTCTTTCATGAAATATCCTTCTTTCCTGACTATCAACCTTATTTTCTCCCATTTGTTCATCCCCAGGAAACTAGGATTTGTAGTGTCTTGGGTGCAAGTGTATTTGTTAGCGTGTGTAATATGCAGCACTCTTCTGAAAGGGTTGTACAACTAGTGGTATTGATAGATCCTGGCTGCCAGGATGCTCATGCAGAGAAGGGGCATGTAAATCAAGATTGGTGAGAGGGACATGGACAATCATCAACACAAAAAGACCAACAGGTTTCACTGGGAAACCAGAGAACAGAAGACAATGTGAGCTTTGGCATGGACATCTTAGATGTACCAAAGACAAAAGGCTGCCTGATGTCTGACAACCTCACTGCTGTTAAGTTCATCTGATACCAAACCTCCTTTTACAGTTGAAATTCATGTGCCTTCCATTTTACACAGTTATTCTTGAGGTGGAAAACAAAGGAAAATGCATAACAGATCCAGCCCTTTCTTGCCACTTAAAAGAACCACAGAACTTTTCTGTGATTTTATCCCTACCCAGTTAGCTTTTTCTGCCGGGAAATGCAGAGCAGTTTGCATTGGAAAACTTGGTTTCTCCAGACCTCCTAGTGTTACACAAGGGAAATACCACAATTGATATAAAAGACATCATCACATGTATGTGTGTGTGGGAAAGCAGCTGAAGAAAGAGCCAACAGCAGACACCAACATCCTATATTGATTGCAAAGAGTGCTGTTTCTAATCAGTCAAATCAAGAAACAGGTTGAAAAAAAAAAAAAAAAAAAGAGTAATTGTTTTTATCTAGGCTGAGGATCCAGAGAACAGGCCAAGCCTTGGTGCCTTGGTCTAGTACTCAAAATTTTACTATTGTCACGCCTTTCATGCAGATGCATTGCTGGCGTGCCCATCTCTTCCCTCGAGCTGAAATGAGGTAAGAACGTGCTTTGCCTATACATTTGCTCAGCTGCTCCCAGGAACGCAGCCAAAAGCTCCAAAACCAGGGAGCCTGGGGGGCTTTGCTGCTGTTTTCCACAAGCAACGTGACCGACCTTTCCCGGCGGGCTGCTGCAAGTTTGTGGCCGCGCCTCGCTGAGGTCTTGTTCTTGCTTTATGCAGGTGGTGCCTCACCTGTCTGTGGTTCGTTCATTATTTTGTCATTTGCTCTTCCAATATCGATTTGATCGGCATCGATAACCTGAGGGAAGAAGAGAACGGCAGAGGGACGTCCCGCGGTGCCGCCCACCCCAGGCTCCCAGGCTGGGAAGTCACAGCGCTTGGACTTGGGAGTTCTCTTCATGGGATGGCGCGTGAGCCGGGGCCGTCCCGGGCTGGGGAAGGGAACGGACCCTCCTGGGAAGGGCGGGACAGGGCGGGACGCGGCCGGCTGGGAGATGCTGCCTCTTGTAACTCGCTCGTGCGGAACTTTCCTGATGTCATAGAATCATAGAATCATAGAATCTTAGGGGCTGGAAGGGACCTCGAGAGATCATCTAGTCCAACCCCCCCTGCCAGAGCAGGGTCACCCAGAGCACATCACACAGGAACTCATCCAGGTGGGTTTTGAATGTCTCCAGTGAGGGAGACTCCACAGCCTCCCTGGGCAGCCTGTTCCAGTGCTCTGTCACTCACAGTAAAAAAATTTTTTCGGATATTCACCTTGAACTTCCTATGCTCCAACCGCTCCTGGGCGC